TGCACGTTTTTTGCGCAATCGATTGCATAATACATACACATCAAATTCGAGCATATCAACATTTACCCCGAGGCCCCATTTTGAGTTTTATCAAAGTGTGTTTTTTTCAATATGGCGGCCGAAGTGTCACTTCCGGTCTGGATTTTTTTTTTCCTCGTTTTTTGTAATAGCATTTACTTACGATCAGCATAAATTTCGTTGACCTATTTCAATTACACCGGAAGTTATTCGACCGGAAGTGGTTTGTACTTTCAATTGATTCCCCGTTTAAAACAAGAAGTAAATTTAAATATTTGACAGTTACATGTTATTTACTTTAGTGATGTCTCTTTGAATATTAAATTTCAGATCAATCAATACAAAAACAAAAAAGTTGCAAAAAAATTGCAAAATTTGATCGAAAAAAGTGAGCGACAAATTTTCGAATTTCATAATTCTGCAACTGCTATCAGATAAGAAATTACAGACACACTCTAAAAATGAAAGTCCGCAGAAAATCGACGCAAAAATGCGCCTTTTAGAGCCGATTTTCAACTTTTTGCACATGTTGAACTGTGGCACTTCCGGTTTTGCAAAAATGTTCCAATATATATTTAAGGAACACGTTGGCACTACAGGAGGTCTAGAATGGACATTACGATAACAAACTGGGGTGGTTTAGGGAAAAGATAATAAATGAACAGTATTTATTAATGAAAGAATGACTATAAATATATCAATATTAAAATAACTTGCAAATTAGGAAGTTTAGGTAAATTAAAATTTGTTTAAAAAGGATCCATTACACAACTATACAATATCAGCATTATAAACCCATGATCTTTTACACCTATAGCATCAGTAAATCTGAAGTGAATCTACAAAAATGTGAATAAAAATAAAGTAGCCTATTGGTTACATTGGTTCAAAAAACTGAAAGAAAAGTTTTATAACAGCAAGTTGGGTTGTAATTGATTGTTAGTTAGGGTTAGGGTTAGGTTAAGCTAGGGTTAGGAATTTAAGGTTGTAATATTGCGGTTAAGCAATGTTACGAAAACACAGGCACAGGCATGTAGGCGTAACCTCTAGTGATAGAGCAATGTTTGTGAAGTTAGTTTAAAAGAATGATATAGAATATTTGAAATGCAAATCCATTATCTTCCGAATCTGAAATATATAAGAGGAATACTGGTTCCAACAGGAACATTAATAACCATGGAAATCATGATAAATATTTTTACTGGTGAAACTAAGGAATTGTCCTATATTAAATGAAAAGAAAAATGCGTATTTCATATAAAAAATATATATAATTTATTAAGTGAAAATAGTATACATGTATGATATTTTTGCGAGGAAACTCTTCAATTGCAAGTTATCATAAATAAGAATTATTAATTAAAGGAAA